AATTTTACAGAATTCTTGATCGCCTTTTAAAATAAAAATATTTTTAATTTTATTAGCAAATAGAATTATGATTTTAATTGTTTTTGTTGGGTTGTTTGAATAAAAAGAAAAGGAAAATTTTAAACTAATATTATTCAGGCTGACACTCCCAGGTCGTACCTCTCTTTTCAAAAGGGGAAGTTCTAAGGGGATGACTTGCGCAATTATTCCACGGCATTGCCGGTAAGCCCACTTTAATCGATGACCTTGTGTCAGCTTCGGTTACGACGTAGGCTTGATGAAAAACCTTCTCTAGATTTTGATATGAGTCATGAAAATTTGGGCGAGGTCGTAGGTTTTTGAAAATAAATTCTACTTTCATTTCTTTTTTTTGTCCTTGGCGAATGGAAAAAAAAAAACATGAATTAAATTTTCATTTCTCAGAATTTGATGGAAAAAATCTAATTTCATTTTATTTTCTCCGCATTCATAAAATTACATTTAAAATTCATTTCAGTTTTTACAGTTGAAATAAAAGTTAATATTAACTTGGATTTTTATTCCTATTATATAAATTGTAGATTTCAACTTCTATTTATTAAATATTAAATTATCGTTAATAATTAATATTTAATTATTATGTCAATGATATCTGAATATACATTTGAAATTCGGCTGGAAAAGAAAAGTTATTTGTTAACAAATTATTTTCATGAATTTTGAATGTTAAAACACAAAAATGAGTTTTGATGACTTTATTTACAAGGCAGATAGATAGATAGATAGATAGATAGATAGATAGATAGATAGATAGACGCAGAGGCCGGAATAGATAGACAGACAGATACAGAGGACGGAATAGATAGATAGATAGATAGATAGATAGATAGATAGATAGATAGATAGATAGATAGATAGATAGATATGATTTGAGGCCGGAATAGATTAGATTGATTTACACACATACATTTATATAAGGACCACATATATACACACACACACATATATACAATGACCACATATATACACACTAAGTGACACATGTGTGCGTGTCTTTGTGTGTGTGACATCAGTGATTTTCTCACCCTTTCCTCTCTCTCTCTCTCTCTCTCTCTCTCTAATTCCTCCTTCCTCCCCTTCATATTCTTTCCCTCCCTTGTTTATCTTAGGAAACGCCCTTTAATCTCTAGTGGTGTGATTATTCTCGTCCAATGAAATCCCTTCAAATCCTATGACGTCACATCGCTTTCCCGCTCAATTCACTTCACGAGAAACAACACCCAGAAGACGTCATTTTTTTTTTTTTGCTTTCCCAAATTTCAAGAAAAACTCATTTTATTCAAGTGAAATTGAAACGAAATCAAATGTAAGCCAGAATTTTTAGATCGATTTTCAAATAATCGAAATTTCACAAATGTTTTTTCATCAAAACAACGAAAATTTCTACTTTTATTTTCTCTTCTTTTTTTTTAACCGCATTCATATTTAGAGACAAACTTTTTATCTTGTATTTTTTTCTCTCTCCGTATAATGAAAAAAATGTCTGATCCGAATTTTGTGGTAAAATAAATTCGTTTTTAGTTAATATTTCGGATAAATTCTTTGCAATGATATCAGAAAGATTAAAGATGACTTTTATTTCTATTTATTTATGTCGTCTGCTTATTTCTTTCCTTTCAATCATCGAATTTGTTTTCTTTTCCTTTCTTCCTCTTTCTTTATTTCGATTGTAGACAATTTCTAATATTTCTTAAAACTTTATTCATTTCTTGGCACTACTTAAATATATTGGTCCCATTTTTATTAAAATGTTAAACATTTTTGTGGGGAGAGAATTAATTTTTGTAGATTAAAATTCATTGGATTTTCTTCAAACGACGACATTTTTCAGAATCGAAAAATGATTCATTATTTTTCCGATTTATAAAGTGAGGGTCTTGTTCATAATATCAGTATCGTGTAAAATCGATCCCTGACTTTGGAAGAATTATTTGACTTAAATTCTTATTTACAAACATTTTTCGCTTCTTTTTTTTGGGTGGAGATTTTTTTTTATCTTAAATTAAATTCGTTTATTCTTCATTTATGTGACTTTTTTTTTTTTTCATACAAAACTTGTTTATTTTTTTCTTCTTTAAACGAAGTTTTTATAAAAAAATTAAACTTTTTTAGAAAAATCAGGGATCGATTTTACATTATAATATTATAAACAGGACCCCCTTTATGTAAAAAAAAACAATAACATTTTCGTTTCTGTCAAGTCTTTTTTCGTTTTTGAAAGTCTAATAAATGTTAATCTACAAAAATATTTCACAGGCCCCCCCAAAATGACCCCATTTAAAAAAAAAATATTTTAATGAGTGGATCAGTTTATTTAAAATGGATTCAATTTTGTCATAAAAAAAAAGCTGAATCGTTTCGGAAGCAGACGATAAAAATCCGCCATTTTTAAATTTCTTAAATCGTGTTAAGTGAAAGAAAGAGTGAAGCAATTTTTAATTAACATCTGAATGTTAAAAGTGATTGTGAAGACAACAAATTGGAACTTTTCTCTCTCTCTTACTTTTACCCTTTCTTTCTTTCCCTTTTCTCGTATTGGTCTTCTCTCTCTCTCCTCTCACTTCTGCATCGATAACCACTCTCTCCTTTGTTTCTTTTGATTTCTCTCACTTTTTCACTCACTCTGACACACTCTATATTTCCTTCTCCCCCTCTCTCTATATATTTTATTTTTTTCTCTCTCACTCTCACTATTCCCCCGTTCCCCACTCTCTCATATTTCATTCTCTTTTCTCTTCACCCCCCTCCCCCGCCTTTATTTGTGATTTTAGAAGAAAACTAAAATTTTTCAGGATTTTTTTTTGTTTTTCTTGTAAAATCTAAAAATTTCGTTTCATTTTATTTTCGGTTTTAAAAATCGACTTTTTATGATTTTGAACTTTTTTTTCTTTGGTATTTTCAGATTTCATTTTTCTTGAACGAAATCCAAAAATGGCTTCGTCTTTGAGGAAAGAAATAAAAGAATCGAAAAAGAGCCTCGACGATTTGCAGGAAGATGTCGAAGAATTCATAAATCGGCTCCGTCAAGGGATTGAATGGACGAAGAAATCGATTGAACAATTATCAACCGTTTGCGAAGAGAATTGCACCAAAGTCAGGCGGGAATTTGATAAATTTCGGGAAGAGACAAGGCTGAAGGCCGAAGAATTGTGCGACCAAATGAAAGAAAAGACGAGCGAAAAAGAAAGGAAATGGCGCCAATCCATCGAAGAGAAAGAAAGACTTTCATTAAGCGACGACGACGAAGAAATTTTTTCTGGTGTCCGGTCTCTGGGAGCGGAGTTTTCAGGGCGGCTCTACGAATCGTTCCCTCCTGTTGAGGAAGGTCATTTTGTGGTGACCTTTCCAGAATGGTGCCAACGATCCTTGGAACAACTTGAAGAAGAAATCGTCGACTTTAAGGTAAAGACATGGCATCCAAGAGAATTGGAACTTGAAAGCGAATTCCGCCTTCGGGGTTCGAACCTGGGGTGGATTCGGTCGATTACCGCCAGCGACATAGACGGTCACGTGTTTGTTGTCGATTGGGGCGACAAATCGATCAAGGAATTCGGCGAGACTGGGGAATTCGTCGGCCGATGTTCCTTGGGGGTCGAAGGATTGTATCCCCAGTACATTTATTGTTTTTCTCAAGACAATTTCGTTGTTTGTGGGGAGGGGGGGAGGGAGTGGTATGAACTTTTGTTTTGGGACCGAAGAAAAAATCCGCTATTTTTAGAAAGAATAAGAATCGACATAATACAGATTCATTTTTTCTTCCATGTTTTTCTGCGTGTCCAACGAACGAAAAAATTTTCGTTTTTGATTTGAATTTTCGAAGAATATTTTCTTTTTCTAAAGAAAATAAAATTTCTACTTGAAGAAAAACCGCGGAATTCGTATTTTTCTTATCTTCTTATCGCCCCCTCCTTCCTTCTCCCCCCATCCTTGTTTCTGCCCCCCTCCATCATTATTCCCTCCTCCGTCCTTCTTTACGCTGCCCACTTTCTCCCTCCCTCCTTCGTTCCGATCCGACGACCGGGAATTTCTGGGGGGCAAGAGAAGGAGAGCCTGAATTCTTCATTTGGAATCAAAAAGGCCGAATTCTTCAAATCATCAAAACTAAAAAAGAAATTCTCGATTTTTGTTCCGACGAATTTGGTTTTTTTTATTTTTGCAACAAGAAAGGAATTTTTTCTGTTTTACCAGAAAAAATTCTGTACAAATTTCCGAAAAAATCTGTAAATTGGCCGAAGATTTTTGTTTCTGGAAAAAAATTGTTTGCTTTTTTTCAAAGCGACGGAGAAAAATTAATGAAAATTTTCAAAATTAAAAAAAAAAAAACTTGAATTTTTTCGTGAATTTTACAAATAAAATTTATTTTAATTAAAATTCTTTTTTTTTATTTAATAGAAATTTTGAAAATTAATTTAAAAAATAAAATTAATTTTAATTAAAATTGTTTTTTTTTGTTTTTATTCTTTTTGATTTGAATAAATTTTCGTTTCTAAATTTTTGTAAATATTTTTAATGATTTCCCAATATGAGTTCAGGTAAATAAAACAGAAAAATGTTTATTTTTCGTAATATGAGTCGAGGCAAAAAAAAAAGTTTCATAATCCTAATGCAATGGATTTTACAAGATTTTTTTGTTGTCATTTTTTTTTTTGTTTCTCCGACCATCAAAAGTTGACAAAAAATGTGGAATTGAATTTGATTGAATTTTTAAGTGGAATTAAATTTTTAAAAATCGATTTTTTTTTTTCACCGAAGAAATTTCTGAAATTGATACTTTTTATTCGTCTGCTAAGAATATGAGGCGAGTTAAATAATTTCTTTTTTCTTTCTTCGGGGTGGGGTTGATGGGGGGGTCATATTGATGCCCCAGGGTAAGGAAGGATTATTTTTAAAAAGAACATCTCTTGGGTCCCAACTGGAAAAGGAGATCGATAGGAAAGGGTGTGGCCCGTCTTTACCGGACGGAAAATGACGTCCTGAGAGGTGGGGCGGGGTTGGAGGTTAAAGACAACAACAATCATCATCATCATCATCATCATTAATAAGAATTAAGAATCAAATCAGACGAAATAATATCAGTGATAAAATTCTTTCTTTTTCACAGACTCTCCTCCTCCTCCCGCTTCTAAATTTCATTCCTCCCCCTCCCTTAAACTGTTTTTCTCCCTTTCTTTTCTCCACCCCCGACTTTTTCCCTCTCTCTATATTTGCTTATGTTTTTCAATGCCATCCAAGTCTGCCATTTTTCGATGACTGCAAGCAATCCAAGAGAAAACTTGAAGTCAATCAAATGAGAGGAGGCTGTGGAGAGCTATAACCCCATTATATCTTCAAGAGAGATGAAATTAAATAAGGAAATAAACAAAAATAGATTTGAGTCGTAGCCATATTTATTGTTTTCTTAATGCATTTTCTTTCTATTAAACAAAATATTCAAGTGAATCCATTTGGCTGGTATTATAGCGAGGTGGTTGAACACAAACGACCGAAGTTTGACCAGATTTGATCAGAAAAATAAAAATAGTATATATATATATATATATATATATATGTGTGTGTGTGTGTGTCTTTCAACTTTCATAAGTCATCATCAAGGGAGGTAGAAAGAATTGTAGGGTAGACTGATCTGTCTAGCCTTGAATGGCAACAAGTCAAGGGAAAAGATTAAATGACATTTCACAGATATTGCATAAAAGAAAAAGGAATCTGTGGAGAGCCATAACCGCTTATTCTTAGGTTCGGAATAAAAGGGTAGGATGGAATTAAAGGGACCAGCCATTCTATTCCGAACGGGAGATTAAGTCTGAAGGGGAGAAAAGCAACAAAGATTGAGGGAGGGGGGGAAGTAATCATCATCATCATCATCATCATCTTTAGCAATTATAAAGAAATTTCCATGAAATAAATTTAATGATAAAATATTTTCTTTTTCACACACTCCTCCCCCTCCCATAATGTCAGTTTCTGTTTTCTCTCCCCTTCATTGTTTTTATCTTTTCTTGATTTTCTCTCTCCACCTACTCTCTCTGTTTCTCTCTCTCTCTCTCTCCTCTCTCTCTTTTTCGATATCAGAAGAAAAGCAACAAATTGGAAACTGAATTCTTAACAATCCAAGGGAAATAACTCTGATTAATTAATTTTCTTATTCCCCTTGAATTGATTCTTTATTCCGGGGTTTAACGCTTTTTCTTTTTCTTGTTCTATTCAAATCTATCAAGAAAATTATCGGAAATTCGTTAATAAATCGATTATTAATCGAACATTTGATTATTTATTGATATTTGTGTTTTCATTCCGATAAATGTGGCCGAAATTGTTTTTCTTGTTATTTTTGGATACAAAACAGAATCAATTTCTTTTGGTATTTGGAGAGAAAAGTCGAAAGAAGGAATTGAAACCGGGAAAATTTCTTTGTAAATAGCCCCAAAAAGTGGAATTTTTTAAAAATTATAATATGAGACTTTCTAAGTAAAAAAAAGAAAAATGCATTTTAAATACTTTAAAAATGTTTTCTTTGAATTTAAATTTTTCTTCCATTTCAAAGATAATCGCCTAAAAAGTTAATCCGAATAAAAGGAAAAATTAATTTCCGTATATAAATAAACTTTTTAGGCATTTTTACAAGTTTGAATGTTTTTCGAAGTTTGTTAATAAATTTAAGGATTAATTAATTGGATTTTCTTAATCTAATCTTTACTTTTCCTTAAAATAGAATGAAAATAACGTTTTATTTACGCATGGCTGCCTGTCGGGGTCAAAGGGTACAATATAAATTAATTCCAATTTCACCTAAAACGGCGCGCGTGAAATGAAAGATAAAACCTAAAAAATACGGCAGGCCAGCAGTGACATAACAGATTCTTATTATTTTTTTAAATAAATATTCTTTAACCAATAGTTTGAAAACATACTTTTTTTTATTCCATACACTTTTATTAAAATTAGGATAATGAATAAATTTGAAGGCAATAAGTCGCTCCCTAAAGAAAAATATAACGTAAATGTAATTTGCGTTCAATTAACGTGAAAAGAAAAGAATTTATTCGAAATGTAAATTTTAGAAAAATGAAAATATAAAATATTATTTTCTACAAATGAATTAATTTCGTTGCAATTGTGAAATTTTTTTGATGTTTTACACATAAAAATTATGCAGGAAAAAAAATAAAAGAATGATTTCTTTTAAAATAATGAAAACTTCAAAGTAGAATTTCTGTTTAAAGACTGAAGTCAGAATTGGTTTTTTTATTGTAGAGAAGAATCTGTAAATAAATGCAAGAAAACAGAGACACGCAAATAAACAAAACAACTTTAATTATGGATGGGAAAATTGAATTTATTAGACAAAAACTCACTGAACGGGACTTACGGGAATTGAATAATACCCTTCCGATTTTGAATAATAGTCAGTCTATGCGTGATATAAGAATTATGCACTTTTTGTACATCCAAAAAATATATTAACCGTTGTCGAATCTGAAAGAAAATAACTTGTTTTATTAAATTTATGCAAGAAATTATATGAAACATAATTCAAAAAAATATTTCCTAAAACTTTAATGAAATCTTTTGTCTGATTTGTGGCAAAATTTTAAAAACGATTTTTTGCTTTCATTTTAGGAAAAAAAAATCCATTTTGGTTGTACGCATTTTATAAACAAAATATTAAATTGCATCAAATCGGCTGGTATTATGTCGAGGAGATTGAACACTAAGAATGGAAACTCACCAGTTTGGGAGCTTCAATAATTTGCAGCAAGAATATATGTGCTTTCGCGTGGAATTTATATATATATATATATATATATATATATATATATATATATAAAGATAGAGTTAATTGGTGATCCTTATGGATAATTTCAGAGCGGGGTGTATATCCCGAGAGCAAGTAAGAATTAATTAACAAATCGGAGACTTCAGTAATAAGTAAATAATAATAATAATAATAATAATAATAATAATAACCGATAACATGTCTCTCCACAACGTATAAGTTGATCACGTCTGTACTGACGAACCGTACTTATTCCTTTCTCGTAACAAACAGCATTCTCCCGCTGGAACAGAGGGATGCAGAAAGGTTCATAGCTGCAAAGATCTTTGAAAAAAATAAAATGTTCCTGGAAAATTGCAGGAACGACGCAGGATTTTATTTTTGCAGCGTGGATTGATTATCGTAAAGCCTTTGGATTAAATTCTTGGATCCTTAAGACTTTGGAAATGTACAAAGGAAATGTGGGAAAGCCAATGGGAATGTGGAACACCAAACTATACCTTAGTCACACCGGGGCACTGCCATATCCAACCGTCTGAATATCCGACGTGGAATCTTAAAAGGAGACTCTCTGTCACCCCTTCTGTTATGTTTATCCTTAATCCCTCTTACACATGAACTGAACAACAGTAACTATGGTTACAAAATAAATAAGAAAATATTCAATCACCTACTCTACATGGATGATCTCAAACTCTTTGCCAAAGACGACAATGAGTTGAAAGGCCTCCTCACTATTGTAAAATAATTCAGTGACGACATAGATATGGACTTCAGATTAGATTTTTGCAAAAGTAAATTACAAAAAGAAAGGTAGATTTTGTCAAAAACACCCTTAATAGATTTAGATTCATCCCCAAATGAAGGAAAAAATAAGAAAAGAGTACTACAGGCGTGTACGTCTGGTACTAAATACCGAGCTAAACTCAAAAAACAGAATATCAGCCATAAACACATTGGCTGTCCCTGTGGTGCAATACAGCTTTAATGTCCTTAACTGGACCATAGCTGAAATTAAGCGTATGGATGCCAAAACGAGAAAACTCCTCACTTGCTATCGCATGCATCATCCCAAAGCTGATGTTGATCGTCTGTATGTGCCCAGATCTGAAGGAGGCAGAGGATTAGTTCAACTAGAACTGTCCTACAAAACTACAACAATTGGCCTCCAAAGATATTTGGAAACTACAGAAGACTGGATGATGGTATGCGTCAAGGAACATGAAAGTAGTAAGCGTCTTTACTCCGTAATAAAAGAAATGGAGTTTCAAATGGGCGTAGAGATGCAAGTACAGCACAATACACCGGCTGAAACTGCAAAATAATTAAAAAAAGACAGCAAAGACGAATGCAACCGACCAGGTACAGAAGCGATGGCAAGATAAACCGCCTCATGGCCAATACTCTGCCCGTACCAAACAAGCTGACGTAGACAAAACCCGTACCCATCAGTGGCTACGTAGTGCAGGGTTGAAAGCGGAAACTGAAGGTTTTATCCTGGCTGCGCAGGACCAATGCTTGCTAACTAGGAATTATCAAGCACATATACTAAAATATTGTGTCAGCCCAAAATGCAGATTCTGTGATAAATATCCAGAAACGATTGATCATCTTGTTGCACGGAATTGGCACCCACTGAATATAAAACCCGACATGACAGAGTGGGCCAATATCTGCACTGGAAAATCTGCAACTTCTACGGGAAGGAAACTGAAAGAAACTGGTATGAACACCACCCAGACCCGGTTACGGAGATAGGACCTGTTACAATTCTATGGGACTACACAATACACACTGACAGAACAATCAAGGCCAACCGGCCAGATATTGTTATTAAAGACCACAAACAAAAACGATGCCTCCTTATTGATATGGCAGTCCCTGCTGACTGCAATGTATCTTTGAAGATATTCAAAAAGTTGTCAAAATACAAGGACCTTGAAATAGAAATCTCGAAAATGTGGCATATGGGAACATCAACAATCCCTGTTGTAGTTGGAGCCCTAGGACTGGTTGGAAAAGATTGCAGTAGACTAATTGAAGGGATTCCTGGAAGTCCATGCCTCAAGGAGATACAAAAAATTGTTCTGACAAGTACAGCCCACACCTCACGAAGGGCTTTTTATCTATGTAATTTTTTTTTTTTTTTTTTTTTTTGTCAGTGGAAAGTGTCATGACGCCATTTCTAACCTTAGGTCCCTGGGCGGGACCCGGAAAGAAATGTGTAAACGCCAGAAATCAAAAGAAAATAAAAAATAATAATAATAATACAGTAACAATGTAAAAATAAAATAATTAAATCAAAATTAGCAAAAAAACAAAATATATTTAGTACATCAAATGAAACCTCATCTCAACCAAATGGAAAGGTTCACATTTTGTCTCCCGACATTTTGTTCGTCTTTTTTTTTTATGTCGTTACCTACTAAAGAAAAAAAAAAAAAAGATACTTGAAAATAACTGTACCAAGATGCCTGAAATGATTTCTTGGTACTTTTCGAAAAAAGATTTGGAAAAATTGGTTGAGGACAAAAAGAATAAACATTGAAACTCACCAATGACCAGCAAAACGCCAGAATCCAAAAAAAACGGATGCCGAACATCCAAAAATTCTCTTAATTCTCTTCCTTAACTGCAATCATTTATGGAGTCGAGGAAGATGTGAGGTCCTCACGATAAACCTGAAAGGAAGGAATTAGAATAAAAATTTTTTTATTTTCTTCTAAAAAATGTTGTCTTTGTCTCAGGATATTTTCTCCTTTTCTGATTGAATGCTAATCAATTATTTCTTGCGATGTTTCCACTGAGTCTAAGCCATCAATATTTAATCCAACGATTGACCCACATTTTCTATGACAACAGATTCATGAGTTAAAACGTTTTATCCACAAGGATATTGTTCAAAATGTCGGGATTATAACAACAAAGATGTCAATAATGATGAGATGGTGGCATCGTAGAAATTGAGAGAGTTTGATATTTTTTGTCGCAATATTTCGTTAAATTACTGAGCCTCAATGACGGATGGAAAGAAGAAATCAGAATCAACGTGTATTTTCCAAAGAGAATTTTTTTCATGTGCATGGTGTCCAAATAGACATGTTTTTGGTGAGGAATTTTTAATCCTAATCTTCCTCCAATACAATGATTAGGACCCACTAAAGGTAGAGGATTACTATTAAAAGAGAAATGATGAATAAAATGTGTTTTAATGAAAAGGGGAAAAAAATTAAAGATCATGGGAACAAGATATTCGTCTAAAATGGAACTTCTTCCTTACAGTTTTAAATGACGGAAATGAGAATGATTTGACGATAAAACTAGTCTCA